ATGATGTGTTGTGGAATGTCCCTTCTTTCTATATAGGTTGCTTGCTATATATTTCTGGTTATGGGACAATGTTATGTTTCTGCAAGGACATAGGAAGCCACCCATGGGTTCTCCAAAAACACAAAGCAGGGTGAAGTCTCAATAAACTTCATAGCATTTCCTTCTGATGAAAAGGTAGGACCTGGCTTTAAACTCCAGAGCACTTGCAGAAGTTGCAGTATTCGGGAGTAGGGGCACTCTGAAATTGGGCAAGAGCTTCCTGTTTTATTTTAAACACAAAACTGAAACAGAGCGTGCCAATTTCAATTGCACCCTTCTGTTTGTTTGAAGAAACAGCTCTGTGGAAACTGAAAATCAAAGGTGCTTCTTCAAATGGCTTGAAAAATCAGGATGCCTTAGTTGGAGATCTTACATTTAGCAGGGGGTTGAACTTGAGAGCCTTAAGACCCCTTCCAATGTTACTATTCTATAGAAAGCACAATGTGGTGCATTGCAGAGGCTGAGGATTTAACAATGTTCTAGGCTTGGCTGCAGGTCTCTATTGTGATTGAGAGAAATATTCGTACCCATGTTTACTGAGAAGTAAGCCCCTAGTTCAGATCTTGTAGACACTCTGGAAAAAACCCAGTCCACAAAACAGGATGCTAAAATGGTGTTGAAAACTCCTGTTCTTCAAATATGAACAAGGTGTTGTGGCAACCACATAGGATTATAAAATACGAGGCAGCAGCATGGGTCACCTGACTGCATAACTTCTTCTGAGATCTATATACCAAAAGATCATTAAAATTTGAAATGTAGACACTTGAAAGGAAGAGAAGCAATTGGTAGCACTAGGACTCTTACCTGATAGCTCCCCAACCCTTGAATGACAAGAGAAACCAAATTTGAAAAGGTTGTTACAAAGTGTAATTATCTATTTACATTATTAGAGGCTTGCATATTTCATTCTTTGTGGCTCAGATACTCAGAACATTCTGTTCTTAACAGAGGATTTTTTTATTCAAAGTTTCCTTCTTTATTTAGAATTCTGAACATAACAAAAGTCAGTTCTTAGCTGATGACTCCACCTTTGTGTATTTTTTTCTGTGAAGTGTCATGATGTACTAATTGCACATTGCTCATGGAGAAAAGATACTATTGTAATCCCTTTTTACACTTTATGTCCATATGCACAAATTGATTCAGTCTATTTCCCCGCTTGATAAATACATTGGCAGACACAGGATCTTTCCCAAATATCTCTGCACTATAGATAAAGAAAATTAGCCACAATTATCTCCTGGAAACGAAACCCGTATGATTTTTCCCTGGGATGCTTTGGAACCCTATTCACTACAGATGTTATGTTTGCATCTTAAAATCAAGGCTGAAACATTTAGTTAATTGTAAGTGGTTTAAATATAAGCACTAACTATATTTCATTGACTGAATATTTTCATTCCAAAAAGGTTTTGAAGCACAAAATCTATCTCCTCCCATGCTCTCCCTCCAGATATTCATGCCTATCAATTACTTCTCTTACAGATTTTTTTTTTGCTCCATCTTCATAATCTATCTTCTTTGTCCTAATATGGGCAGCCAATTTACCATGTGTTAAGGCTTTCTATCCCAGTTTTGCTTGGTAATCTGGTTTTTTCCTGCTAGTCTTTCTCATGCATGTAAATGATATGGGGCCATATGAATAGGCATGGAAGTCTTTCTCATTTACCATATGATAGGTTAATCACCTGTATTTGCTTACAGATTTGTTGAGAAGGTGATCCCTGCAGCTCAAGAATCCCATAGTGAGTGGAAATAATATCACAAAGTCCCTTTGGAGTAAAAACAGTGATTGTTGTTGTTTATTCATTCAGTTGCTTCGACTCTTCGTGACGTCATGGACCAGCCCATGCCAGAGCTCGCTGTCGACCGTGGCTACCCCCAGCTCTTTCAGGGTACCATCCATCCATTTTGCCCTTGGTTGGCCCCTCCTCCTTTTTCCTTCAATTTTCCCCAGAATCATTGTCTTCTCTAAGCTTTCCTGTCTTCTCATTATTTGGTCAGAGTACTTCATCTTTGCCTTTAATACCCTTCACTCCAGTGAGCAGCCAGTCATAATTTCCTGGAGTTTAGACTGATTGGATCTTCTTGTGGTCCAAGGCACTCTCAGAATTTTCCTCCAACACCACAGTTCAAAAGCGTTTATCTTCCTTCGCTCAGCCTTCTTTATGGTCCAGCTCTCACATCCATAGGTGACTACAGGGAATACCATTGCTTTTACTATGCGGATCTTCGTTGCTAGTATGATATCTCTACACTTCACTGTAAGCTCACAGCAGCCGCTCCCAATAACGACACAGGACGCCAATCCGTAATCAATCAGGAACTTTTACTGCTGGACATTCATACACGAAGAAAGCCAGGATTGGCCTGCAGCCGCAGTTTAACCCTTATATACCCTCCCTCACAATTGAATTCCCCTTTCCCGCCGGCCGAGAATCCCGCGCAATATTCCCCGCCAAATGCCAACTGCTTACCCCCAAGGCCACCAGCTGCACATTCTTATCAGCAGTCCATGTCAGGATTCTGGTTTTTTGCGCCAAGACTGAAGGCCTGGAAACCGGTTCCTGACATGACGTCCTCCTCCTCCTCCTCTTCTTCTTGGAAGGGAAATACATGTCACTACTATACTCCTTCTTCATCCAGCGAACCTTGGTACTTCTTCAACAAGCTACAGTGAAACGTTGGGTGTATTTTCCCCAAAACCTTCGGTAGTTGCAATGTATATGTGACCTCATTGATTTTGCTGGAGATTCTAAACGGACTGATGTATTTAGGAGATAACTTCCTGGAAGGGGCATTCAACTTGAGATTTTTGGTGCTCAACCATACCAAGTCCCCTTCCTCCAACCTATCTCCTTCCCTCCTTTTTCTATCCGCTAATAACTTATACTTCCGTTGGGCTTCTCTGAGTGATTCCACTACCTCCTCCCAACTCGCCCTGTCTGGCCACCCTTCCTTTCCCCACGGTTCCTCCTCCTCCCAACTCGGCAGCTTTGGCAAAGGGGTTACTTCCATGCCGTAGACTATTTCAAAGGGGGATTTCCCTGTGGATGCGTGACAGGCTCCATTATATGCGACTTCTGCAAATGGGATTAGGTCTGCCCAGTCGTTTTGGCAATGATTAGTGTATGTTCTTAGGAAAAATCCCAACGTCTGCTGAGTGCGCTCGACTCCCCCATTGGTCATGGGATGGAATGCTGAACTCAGGGTCCTTTCTGCCCCCATCAATTGCATGAACCTTTCCCAGAAACGTGCCATAAACTGCACCCCTCGATCACTGATCACCTGATCGGGACAGCCATGCAACCGATATATGTGTTTAATAAACAGCTCAGCCAACTTTTCCGCAGATGGCAATTTAGGCAGCGCTATGAAATGCGCCTGTTTTGAGAACAAGTCCATCACTGTCCATATGTAGCGCTGACCTCGGCTATTCGGGAGTTCGCCCACAAAATCCATGGCAATCACACTCCAAGGTTTTGACGGCTCTGCCACCCTCTGCAATAACCCTGTTGGCTTTTGTGTGGGTACTTTGTTCTGTGCACATGCGTTACATCGGGATACATATGATTTTGTGTCACCCCTCATCCCGGGCCACCAACACTGGTGTGCCAGTAATTTTAGGGTTTTCGTAACTCCCCAGTGTCCTGCTCCCTTGTTGTCATGGCATCTAATCATCATTTTTTCCCGCAGGTTGACTGGGATATATACCTTCTTGTTTACAAAACCCAATCCACCCTTCCATTCCACCTTTTCCTTGTTCCTCTCCAGCCATTCATCCTCCTTGCATGCCTGTCTTATCTCCTCCTCCCATCCCCCGTCCTTGCTCTCTACCCCCACCAGTCTTTGACTGCGCTCCGCTTGTGCTCTGGTTTGCACTGCCATGCCCCACTGCCGCTCCGAGAAAATACTCCCCTTTGGGTCTTGCCCCCTCCCTTCATCCTCCGGCATACGTGACAATGTGTCTGCGACCACATTTTGTCTCCCCTTGTGAAACTTCAGCTGGAAATCGAATCTGCTGAAGAACTGCCCCCATCTTATTTGTTTCGCTGACAATCTCCTGGGTGAAGTGATATATTGTAAGTTTTTATGGTCGGTCCATACCTCAAAGGGTATGCCGCTTCCCTCTAGCAGGTGCCTCCATGTCTCCAGGGCCCTTAGGATTGACAGGGCCTCCTTTTCCCACACCGGCCAGTTTCGTTCAGTCTCGCTGAACTGAACCCACATGGTTTTAACCTTCCTTCCGGATCCCTTTGCATCAATGCTGCCCCATAGGCCCAATCTGATGTGTCACAATGGATCAACAATTGCTTAGTCAGATCGGGGTGGATTAGGACAGGTTCTTCTGTGAACCTGCATTTCAGTTCCTCGAAGGCCCTCTGGCACTCTGCTGACCAATTCAACTTTGCTCCCGGGGACCGTACCTTTATTGTCTCCCCCCTCCCCTTTGTCTTCAGCAATTCGGTGAGGGGCAGTGCCACCTGAGCAAAGTCTTTTATGAACACCTGATAAAAGTTTGCAAATCCTAGGAATGATTGCAACTGCTTGTGTGTTTGGGGGGGTCCCCACCCCTTGACATCCTCTACCTTTGAAGGATCACACGGAATATTCAAAATGCCCCAATGCGCATGCGAAAGCCGTTTTCCACCTGTCCTCAGGCCGTATTCGCAACTTATGATAGGCCTCAATCAAGTCAATTTTCGTAAACACCCTTGCCTCTGACAGTCTTGACAGTAAGTCCTTGGTTAGAGGCAATGGGTAATTGTTGGTCGTGCTCACTGCGTTCAGCCCCCTATAGTCCACACACAACCTCAATGAGCCGTCCTTTTTGTGCCTAAATAGCACTGGGGCCCCCAATGGGGATTCAGATGGTACTATGAACCCTCGGGCTAAGTTCTTATCGATGTACTTCCTCAGTTCCTCCATCTCCTTAGCCGACATTGGGTATAGCCTACTCCTTGGCAGCTTAGCATCTTTATAGAGCTCAATTTTCACCTCGACCCGTCTTGGGGGAGGAAGCTGATCCGCTTCCTTTTCATCAAACACGTCCTCAAAGTCTCTATATTCGGGAGGGATCTCTGCACCCCGTCTGTCGTGCATCCCTCCCCCTTACAACACTCCCCCTTTTCTTCGTCTTGGAAGCTCAGGCTGCCCTTCCTCCAATTGATCTGTGGGTTTGCCTCCCTCAACCACGGCATCCCCAATATCACATTATAAGTTGCCATAGGGGATACCACAAATGTTATGCCGCCTTCCCAATTCCCTATCTTGCACTGCACTTCCCCCACCTCGAATCGCGCTGGGGCTCCAGCCGCCACTGATCCATCCAGCTGTGAAAATGCTATAGGGGCTGGCAAGACGGCTTTCTCACATTTCAGTTCGTCTGCCAATTCAGGGGTTATAATGTTTCTGGAGCAGCCACAATCCATGAGGTCTTTGCAGCTGGCCCACTTCCCCTCCCCTTCTAGTCTTATCGGGAATACTATCATCCCTGGGTTGTGACTCACCAGATCCCCCACTGGGGCCCTGTGAGGGAGGCTCTCTTATGCTCTCTTCCCAGCGGCCGGTTTAAACCTTGACTGAGGGGGATCCCCCCCTTTCCTCTGCTGACAATTTGCAGCCCGATGCCCAAAACGGCCGCATACAAAACAGCCGCCTCTCTGCTCCTTGGGTCCTCCGGCTGGGCCTTTCCCGATCGTGCCTCTCTCCGCCCTCCGACTCTCCTCCTTGGCTCTCGTCTGCTGCGGTGTCGCCCCTCGATGTCTCTTGACTTGAGCCAGGGTCATCTCGATGCGGCCAGCCAGCTCAATCCATCCGCCTATCTCCTCCGGATCATCACGATGAAGTGCCCAAGCCAAGATTTCCTTCCGCAGGCCTTCCTTAAATATCTGGACCTTAGTGGTATTGGACCACTCAGGTACCTTTTCTGCCCGCAACTGGAATTCTTCTACGTATTCGGACACGGAACGCTGACCTTGGGTTATTGTTTGCAACTTCTCTCTCGCTCGGATTCTCTCAAGCGGATCCCTGAAGCGTGCTTCCATCGCTGCCAGAAAACGCCTCGTGGACCCCAAACATGGGTCATGTCTGGCATGGAGTTGGACATACCACTCTGCCGCTCCTCTCCTCAGTGCCGCACCCACTGCCCGTACTCTGCTTGCCTCCGATCTGAAGGTGGGTGCGTTGTCCTCTAGGTATCCCCTCACCATGGTTAGGAAATAATCGAGGTTCCCGGCTTCACCTCCAAATTCGACTCGCAGCTCCTCCCTCCTCTGGTGAGGGACAAGGGGCTGCCTCTCCCGGCTCTCCGCTCGCGGTGGCCCTCCCTGGAGCCCATGCTGCTCCGGGGGCAATCCGTGCCGCCCTGTGCCACGCCCGGCTCCGGCCGGGGGCACCAGAAGCGTCTGCTGGGACGTTAGCGTTAGTCCCCGCGGCTGTCCTTCCTCCTCATCACTCTCTGCCCCGGTTCTCCAACTCGCCTGCGTTTTAGGCCGTGCTCCGGGTCCCCGGTCACTCCTCTCCTCTGCACTCCACACCGATTCCCTTCGGGGTTGTGATTCCTCTATCAAGGGGGCCAGCCGCTCCATCACCCTCGACATCACTGCGAGGGTGGTTTCCATGGATGCCACTTTTTCCTCCAGATACTCCAACCTCTGCGGGGAGGGGAAATCTAGCCCACTGCTTTCTCTCGCTGCCGCCTCGGCCCCCTTCACTCGCCTCTGGGTTACTCCGTTGGGCCGGGCATAAGCAGTCGATGAAGCCAAGGCAGCTACTCTCTCCAGCTCCTCCTCCGCATTCTCAAAAGGGGAGTCCGGCTCTCCCCCTGCTGCTGGAATTTCCTCCCGTTCCATAAGGGTACCTCACCGCAGCCGCGGGATGGTACCGGCAATCCTGGCTTAATGTAAGCTCACAGCAGCCGCTCCCAATAACGACACAGGACGCCAATCCGTAATCAATCAGGAACTTTTACTGCTGGACATTCATACACGAAGAAAGCCAGGATTGGCCGGCAGCCGCAGTTTAACCCTTATATACCCTCCCTCACAATTGAATTCCCCTTTCCCGCCGGCCGAGAATCCCGCGCAATATTCCCCGCCAAATGCCAACTGCTTCCCCCCAAGGCCACCAGCTGCACATTCTTATCAGCAGTCCATGTCAGGATTCTGGTTTTTTGCGCCAAGACTCAAGGCCTGGAAACTGGTTCCTGACACTTCACTATTTTATCAAGATTGCTCATTGTTCTCCTCCCAAGGAGTAAACGTCTTCTGATTTCCTGGCTGCAGTCTGCGCCTGCAGTAATCTTTGTGCCTAGAAATACAAAGTCTGTCACTGCCTCCACGTTTTCTCCCTCTATTTGCCAATGAGAACAGTGATACCCACCCTTAGTCTGATTGCCATTCGAGCCATAAAGACAAAAGCAACGAAGACTAAGACAACAGTGATACCCAGTCTTAGTCTTCATTGCTTTTGTCTGTATGGCTCGTATGGCAATCAGATATCTTTTTGTGATGTTACAAAACCCGGTCTTAAAAGGGGAGTCATCACCATCGTTATTTTATTTATTTATTTCGCTTCTTTTAATCATTACTCGGAATCAAGACATCTTGTAGATTATTAAGATTGATATTGATTAAAACGTTTTTTTAAAAAACGAGTAAAATATGCTAATGCTGGGTTTTTTAAAAAACAAAGAATTTATCACATTGAAACGATTTGAAACATTAAAAGACAATATAGAAAATCTGTACAACACATCATTAAAAGGCCATCACAACCAGTTCCTGAAAGCATGTCAGAATAGAAAAGTTTTTACTTGTTGGCAGAAGGAGAGCAAGGAGGGAGCCATCCTGGTCTTTCTATGAGGGAAGCTACAAATTCAGCTGCCAAGAAGCCTGTGAACATGGTGGGACAGAGAAAAGGGCCTCTGTTGAACATCTTAGAGCTTGAACAACCTCATATATAGAAATACAGTCCTTCATGTAGCCCAGATCCAAGCCATATAAGATGTTATATGTCAATAATACTTGGAAGTCCCTGGACAGACTCAGAAGCAGAGAGGGCAGATCGAAAGATAACATGGCAAAATGGCACTACCTAGAAGAATCCTCCACCTTGTGCGACCAGGGAGCAGAACAAACAACTCCGCATCTGTATTTATTATTTACTTATTTATTTACTTTGCTTATATACCGCTGTATCTCAAGCCCGAAGGCGACTCACAGCGGTTCACAAACAGTAGAAACAGTAGAAACAGCAGTGGTTCCATACAACATATAACAATTGACTTAACACATTATCCATAAATTACCAATAAGCAATTACAATGCACAATTATTACAAAAAACAACCGTACCCAATCTTCTCATCATCCAAGCGTAGTCCAGATTCGTCGTCCATTGTTCCATTCCTATGTTCCATTACCAGATTGCACTAAATTACTCAAACGCCTGCACAAACATCCAGGTCTTCACCTTTTTGCGGAATACCATTAGAGATGGTGCTAGTCTAATGTCCGTAGGAAGGGCGTTCCACAATGCTTGTCCACAATGCCCTGCCTCATGCACAGAGGAAAAATTGTTTAAAGCTACAGACAATGTGGTTGCTGTTGCCCATTTTTGGTCAAAGCTTGTTTAGTCTCTTGTGTTCCCTCAATTTTTATCAATTTTATACTTATTTGTTCAATGCTTTTGACATGAAATAAATAGATAACTATGTAAATAATGCAATTGGGTTATCTGTTTTTGCCAGATCATTTTTTACTTTTCAGCTTTTGTACTTTGTAATTATCATGACCAGTGGGGTGGTCCTTCCAATTAGAATTACACATTATGCAAAAATATTCAGACTTAATAGACTAAACATATGGAGATTTAACAGATTAATCAAAATCAATGTAATTAAATCACTAAGGTTTCTTTAATTCACCCTGAAACACAATGGAAATAGCATTTTAAGTTCCCTTTTTAATGTACCTGTTTTGCAACTGAAATGTATTCAGGGTGCAAAAACTAACAAGTGATTAAAACTTCTGTACAACCTGTTTTATATATACAGTAGTTTAGAAACGTAATGGGCATTGAATGTACTGCTTTATAGCAGTTTTAAAGTTGTGCAGTACTAGTACTTTGATAAAACATGGAGCATTTAAAAAGATGATAAAAATACAAGTTGTCTATTTTTCCTTTCTTATCAAATTCTGGTATCTGATAGTTAGGATGAAGAGTTCTTCCTTCTCTTTGTGATTGGAATAGATAGCTACAAATGGACCCCAAAAAAGCCCAGATGAACTCTTTATGGACCTTTCTAACAAATCATTTGACAGTCAAAATTCAATAGAAAAAGATTTGTATAGCATGGAAATAAAGCATTATTGGTTAACGTCTGTAGGTCACATTACTGACAAAACCACACAATGAGTTGACAATACATGAAAGCGGAAGGATGGGGACAGGCTTGTGAAGTATTTGCTGTAATTGTTCCTCATTTTTATTCCATTTCATTTCTAGAAAAGACTGATTTATGAAAACATATGTTAAGAATGTTAGTGCTTTGCTTATAAATGAAGTTTAATACAGCATGACTCCCATATATGTAGGTGATATGTTCTTGGACTTTGCGTTAATACATTATGCCACAGATAATAATGAACCCTATTATAGTCATCCCTCCACATTTGCGGTTTTGACTTTTGTAAATTTGATTATTCACCAATTTGACTTAAAATGTTATCTCTAGCTATCTCTTAAGTTCTCCAGTATGACTCTAGGGTCAACTTGCTCCAGTCATACTGGAAGAGCTAGAAAATTCCAGAGAGGACATCTCTCTAGGAATATCTAGGTGATCCAATGTGATTTTGTGGCCAGCTTCCAGTTAACCATAGAGTCATACTGGAAGATCCAGAAATTTTTAGAGAGGTGTTTTGGTAGGTTTAAAAAGCTATTTATTTTCGTAGTTTTTCACTTTTTCAATGGTCCTAACCTCAGCTTTTATGGAGGGCTGACTATATTTAAGAGGATGAAAGACAAAAGTATCAAGAAAAGGATGCAGGTTATAGGAGATTAAACTGAATAAATGATACCACATAGAAGTGAAACCATGTG